CATCTCAGCATCCTCAGCATCTCTGCATCATCAGCATCTCAGCATCATCCGCATCCCAGCATCATCAGCATCATCAGCATCATCAGCATCTCAGCATCCCAGTATCATCAGCATCCCAGCATCATCAGCATCATCAGCATCTCAGCATCCCAGCATCATCAGCATCCCAGCATCATCAGCATCTCAGCATCATCCGCATCTCAGCATCCCAGCATCTCAGCATCATCCGCATCCCAGCATCTCAGCATCATCCGCATCCCAGCATCTCAGCATCATCCGCATCCCAGCATCTCAGCATCATCCGCATCCCAGCATCTCAGCATCATCCGCATCCCAGCATCTCAGCATCATCCGCATCCCAGCATCTCAGCATCATCCGCATCCCAGCATCTCAGCATCATCCGCATCCCAGCATCTCAGCATCATCCGCATCCCAGCATCTCAGCATCATCCGCATCCCAGCATCATCAGCATCCCAGCATCCCAGCATCATCAACATCCCAGCATCATCAGCATCCCAGCATCATCAGCATCTCAGCATCATCCGCATCTCAGCATCCCAGCATCTCAGCATCATCCGCATCCCAGCATCTCAGCATCATCCGCATCCCAGCATCATCAGCATCATCAGCATCTCAGCATCATCAGCATCTCAGCATCATCAGCATCTCAGCATCATCAGCATCTCAGCATCATCAGCATCTCAGCATCATCAGCATCTCAGCATCATCAGCATCTCAGCATCATCAGCATCTCAGCATCATCAGCATCTCAGCATCATCAGCATCTCAGCATCATCAGCATCTCAGCATCATCAGCATCTCAGCATCATCAGCATCTCAGCATCATCAGCATCTCAGCATCATCAGCATCTCAGCATCATCAGCATCTCAGCATCATCAGCATCTCAGCATCATCAGCATCTCAGCATCATCAGCATCTCAGCATCATCAGCATCTCAGCATCATCAGCATCTCAGCATCATCAGCATCTCAGCATCATCAGCATCTCAGCATCATCAGCATCTCAGCATCATCAGCATCTCAGCATCATCAGCATCTCAGCATCATCAGCATCTCAGCATCATCAGCATCTCAGCATCATCAGCATCTCAGCATCATCAGCATCTCAGCATCATCAGCATCTCAGCATCATCAGCATCTCAGCATCATCAGCATCTCAGCATCATCAGCATCTCAGCATCATCAGCATCTCAGCATCATCAGCATCTCAGCATCATCAGCATCTCAGCATCATCAGCATCTCAGCATCATCAGCATCTCAGCATCATCAGCATCTCAGCATCATCAGCATCTCAGCATCATCAGCATCTCAGCATCATCAGCATCTCAGCATCATCAGCATCTCAGCATCATCAGCATCTCAGCATCATCAGCATCTCAGCATCA